CTGTGAAGAAGAAAGCAGAGTTAACGTTTCATATCTGGTGAACCTTCCGAGTTCTGAGGGTGGGTCACCGGACCCGAAACGTTAACTCTGCTTTCTTCTTCACAGATGCTGCCAGACCTGCTGAGCTTTTCCAGCAACTTTGTTTTTGTTCATTTTTTAAAAAAAGGGAGTTCTGGATATGGGAAGAGAAATAGTTAATGTTTCAGGTCAATGATCTGCTGTTAGAATAGATGTATTGCAATGTATTTCAGAGGCTACTATAGCCTGGCATCCAGGGTGACATTTAAATCCTTCAAGTTTGTGATTTCCTCTGACTAAGGAGCCACCGCCTTCACCCTGCCACAATCATTCAATAGTAGGTCCTGAGAGTTTGAACTGATTTGATATCATCCTCTCTCACTCCCACCTTGCGCTGTGATACTACACAGTATCCTGCAACAGAGAAAATGGGTGGCAGGTCTCCTTCCATCTGCCTCTGAGTAGGTGAGAACGCCCCAGGGAAAGTTCTGCATTTGACCTGAGACTGAGATTGGGAAGGCCACAAGAGGTCCCAGTGGATCGCTGAGGCCTTTTCACTGAATCTTTTCTCAATGTGTTTCTTCAAAAAAATTTGATAGTGTCTGGCTTTATAACTGTTCAGACCATTCAGTATATCATGTCAGTACTGACTGTTTGAAAGAGCTATTCAGTTTGATAGTTTCCGGATATTTCCTCAAGCCTGCAAATTTATTTTCTTTTCAAGTATTTAACCAATTTCTCCTTTGAGTATTTGTATTGAATCTGCTCCCATTGCTTTCTGATAGCACATTCCACTATATGATTATTTGTTTTGTTGGGGAAAGTTTTTTTTTTTTAATCAATCTGTGGTCTCTGGATACTGGATCAACCAACTCTGATTCAGGAAGAATAATTCCAATCTAGACCAGTCTTCTGAGGTTTCTCAAAAAAATGCAGATCACATATTATGGATGTCATTTCCACATGCCCTGGAATTCCTGTAGGGTTATTCTCATTGCAAATCTGGAATCCTGTCAGTACTGACTGTGAAAGAGCTATTCAGTTAATTACTTCCTGGATTGCCTCAACCCTGAAAATTTCTTTCCTCTTCAAGTATTTATTCAATTTCCTCTTTGAGCATTCATAGTAAATCTGCTCCCATTACTTTCGGATAGGGTTGTTCTCATTAAAATTGAGAATTATTCAGTTCCTACTCTGGCACCTAGCCTTGTGCAAGGCTCTTTGAATACTTTCTGCCTGCTGCTGTGCAATGTTTTGTTTTTGGTCTCTCAATTACCGTTCTGTTTCAGGGATAAAATCTCATCAAGGATCTGGCAACTTTGGGGGGAAGTTGGGAAACCGGATTATGTCAAAGGACTCTCACCAACAGCGACTTAACATAGAGAACCAGGTATGCCTTGATGGTCCAGTTTTGTGTTGCGAAATGCTTGAAGTAGCTCTGGACTGTTGCTTTTATCTCTGTCGTTGTTGAGATTCTGTTCTCTAACTCTTTGGAGATGAAACAAAAAGTCTGAAGTGCAGAATGTGTCAAGCTCCAGCTGAAAAATACCTGAATCCAGCAGACTATTCAACAACAAGCTAAATTTGTATAACACCTTTCCCTGAATATTTACCCAGAGAAGACTCAGCTTGACTAAGTCAGCATGCACAGGGGTGGTAGGGGAACAGGACCTAGTGTGAGTTAAGGTATGAGCAACAGAATTTTGGATAACCACGTTTACAGAGGGTACAATGTTGCAAGCTCTCCAGGAGTACTGTTATATGTTCTATGCGTACACTGGAATATTCACAGATAATAACGAGGTAGGAGCAGAAGAGAAGCCATTACAAGTAATCCTCTGGCAGTTGTTTGTTGGATAATAAGTGGAATCAGATGAAAGCAGTCTCACCTGCTGGGTAACAGCAGAGAGATGAAGGGACTCTTATGATGCAGTGGTAGTGTCCCTAGCACTGAGCGAAGAGGCCTGGGTTCAAGTCCTACCTGCTCCAGAAGTGTATCATAACATTTTTGATACATTGATTGTAATCAATCTAAAATTGATGATCTGTGAGAAAAAGACAGTGGAAAGGTATTAGAGGAGTATGGTTTGGTCACGGTGTCAAAGGCTGCAGCCAGGGTGAGGAGAGAAAGTTTACCTTTGTCACAGTGACACAGGATGACATTTATGCCTTTGATAATATTTGTCAAATAATTAGTTTTCAGCATCCGAGAGACTAATACTCGGGCTACAGTCCCTTATTGCACCAATATCTTGATATTTTCTGAATGTTCCTGCAGTAACAGTAACAGTAACAGCCACAGGGAAGGGAGAGAGTAGGACAAGATGGAGGAAGAAACGGCCTTTCACATTTAAAATCAAGCTTGTGACTTTTAAATGTTCATTTCAGACACCAACCAGACGCGATGAGACTCCAACCCGTAAAACACTGAACAGCCCGGGCAGAGCCACCCTGCAGCATGGAGCCAAAACACCACAATCCAGCAGCTCCCCAGGAAACCGGATGGGAACAGCACTGACCCCCACCTCTCACACTTTACCCAGGTCAGTCCTGCCTAAGAACCAGTAGGAGACTCTATGTAGGAGACATGACTTTGTCAGTTTCACTGCCATATCTGACTTAATGTTGAAGTAGGCAATCCTTTTGACTCTTTACAGTAATGTACTGAAGACTATTTCTGAAAGATCATTGGCAACTGGAACAGTCTTCCAAAGCAGATTCTGGGTCAGTTTGCAAGATCTGAACTGAATTGGTTGATTGGTTTTGTTCATAGAGTGTGGGCGTTGCACAATTGTTGCACATCCCTAATTGCCCAGAGGGCAGCTTAGAGTCCCCACATTGCTGTGAACCTGGAGTCACTTGTTTCTAGACTGCCATAAGAATGGCAATTTTTCCTTCTCTAAAGGATGTTAAGGAACCAGGTGGGGTTTTTTTTCAACAATTCACAGATCACCATCAAACTGGCTTTTTATTCCAGATTTTTATTAGATTTAAGCTTTGCCATCTGCCACTCCATAAAATATTAGCCTAGGATTGTGTTTCCTTGGTTGACAGAGGGGTGGCATGGTGGCTCAGTGGTCAGCACTGCTGCCTCACAGCACCAGGGACCTGGGTTCGATTCCACCCTCTGGCGACTGTCTGCACAGATTTCCTCCCACAGTCCAAAGATGTGCAGGCTAGGTGGATTGGCCATGCTAAATTTCCTGTAGTGATGTGTAGATTAGGTGGGTTATGTGGGATGGGTCTGGGTGGGATGCTCCGAGGGTCGGTGTGGACTTGTTGGGCTAAAGGGCCTGTTTCCACACTGTAGGGATTCTATGATCTATGATTCTGGATTTTTCTAGTGACATTGTCACCACTCCACCCCCTCTTTCTTAGGATCATTTGGATGGCAGGTTGAAGATTTCAGAGTTGTGGCAGAATTCTTGATTCCTCCTGTCCCAAGACCTTTATAGCTCTGTACTAGAGACTCCAGTGAGGTTTGGGAAGAGACCATGTTAGCTATTCAAGTGCTTGGTGAATTGTGTCAGATTGGGCTCTGGGCTTTTTTTTTGTATGTTTTTGTAACATAATCTGTCATTTCATCCATGGAAAGAGGTGTTTGATGGTTTTAAATTCATTATGGTTTAGTTTAGCTCTCTATGTTGTACACAAGTAGTAATAGAGCAGTTGGTATGTAGGATAAACTGGATAGGGATGGGCACTCTCCTAATAGAACAATTTGAGGTAACTCTCACCTCAGCTTACTAATCATCTTATTACTATAGATTAGCTTGCTGGGTTATTTCGGAGGACATTTAAGACTCACATGTAGGTCAGATCACTTAACAATGGTAGATCTTCTTCCCTAAAGGATATTAGTGAACCAGGTCATTTTAAGAACCGAAAGAACAGCGGATACTGTAAATCAGGAACAAAAATAAAGTTGCTGGAAAAGCTCAGCAGGTCTGGCAGCATCTGTGAAGGAAAAAAACAGAGTTAATGTTTCGGGTCCGGTGACCCTTCCTCGGAACTGTGCTGCCTGATCTGCTGAGCTTTTCCAGCAACTTTGTTTTTGTTCCTGATTTACAGCATCCGCAGTTCTTTCGATTTTTATTTAGTATTTAACTCACTCCCCATCTCTTCCAGGCATGCCTATCTTGAAGAAGTTCTGCTTCCCTCTGAAGCGGGATTTCCGTTCCAATCTTTTTCTTCTTGCCCACCGACACTAATTTCGCAGGTCATTTTTAATATTGTCATCAATGATTTCATGGCCACCATTAGACTAATTTTTAATTCCATACTTAGGAATTGTATTCAAATATCCCCATCTTATTGCTGGTTCAGTGACATCATGGCTGTGTCACTACCTCACTTATAGCACTGCATCTTAAAGAGGATAGAATGTATCCTTCCAAGGACAGTGTACATTCACTTATGTTAACCTGGGCTCCATGATTTGGATTATGAGGAAAGTTTACCACATCTAGGGATGTATTCCACAGAATAGTGAAGGTCAATGGATGGTTTAGTTGAGTTTTGGTATGGATTTGAAAGGAATTGTTAACCTGAATAAAACCTTTTCCACTGATGCCAAATCTTGGACGGGACACGCCTCCTGAAAGATTTTAAGGTTACAAGATAGGAAATGTTTCTCCATACAAAGGGTGGTAGAAGGTTGGTACCCTCTCCTACGAAAAGCAGTGAGTACAAGCTTAGCTTAGCTCAATTCAATGTTGTATTGAGTTTGGGTTGCTAAGCAAGTTAAGTGAAACGTAGCCAAAATGTGTGGATAGAGGTCCAATCATGACCAAATCAAATCAAGTGAGGAATGGTCTTGGCCTCTTCATTGGTTAAACTCTGGTTAGACTTCCTATTCATTAAACTATAAAAACTAAAAAGTTGCCATAGACTTAGCAGATCATAGGACCGCTCTCTCATTAGAGAGAGATGACTGATGGTAGTATAACCTGAGGGTCACCACGCCTCATGTAAGGGGAAAGTTGAGAAGGGAAGTCTTTCATGGTAACCTCAGCCTATGTGGGAATTGAGCTCCTGCTGTTAGGCATCACTCTGCATCATAAGCCAGCCATCCGACCAATTGAGCTAAACCAACCTATACTATTTTTCTGTTGAAGGAGTGAAAAGAGAAAAAGGATGTTGACTCCAGACCTGGAACTAACTGAAGATTATCCTAAAGAGAATGATTCCTCCAGGTTAGTATCTGCAGGAAAGCTGTAGGGGTACATTCAGAATTGTAATGCTGTTTCAAGATAAGTGGAAGAGTCCCACGTCTAAGCCAAATACTGAAAACTGTGAGCAATACGTTGAGATATAGAAGAGTGCTGAGGTGTTTGCACAGGGAAAGGAGGTGGTGTTACCTGGGGGAGGAAGTGGGTCTAATGTGACTGCTAAGTAGATATGGTTATATGAATTCGAGTTTGACCTGTATTTGCAGTAATAACAAGGTGACCGGTGACCCTTCTCGCAAATTCCTGAACAGCTGTCGAGAAAAGCAACTCAACCTGAAGCAGGCAGAGGAGAGCAGGAGTTCTGGTAAGTGTTTTGTCTTTTGTAAAAAAAATCTTTGAATCACATACTTTCTCCTGTCCTTGCCACAGTTGAAAGATTTGCCTGTTGGAGTTCCTCACTGACTTGCGGTATTACAGATTAATTTATTATGTTTGCAATAGCTCTGATCGCTCAAGTGCCCTAATTGCAGATATCAATGGGTAACGTTGCTACTTGAGTCATAGGTTGTGGGTTCAAAGCTACTTCGACTGCACTGTCTGAGATGCTGCCTTTTGGGAGAGATGTTTAAACCCTTAACCCTGTCTGTCTCCACAGTAGATGTAAATGATCACGTAGCCATTATTTGAAAAAGAATGCAATTGTAGAATCCTAAAACAGCAGCACAAGAGGAAGCCATTCAGCCCCTTGATCCTGTGTCACTTCTTTTGCCCCAGTGTCTTGGTCATATAAACTAGGAGCTGGAGAAAGCTATTCAGCCCCTTGAGACTACTATGCTATTCAATAGGATCACAGCTGACCTGATTATAACCTCCAATCCACATTCCTGACAACTGCTGATAAACTTTCACCCCAACGAGAAAACGTCATACAAAAAATATTCAAGGACTCTTCTACTGCTTTTCAAGAAGAGAATTTCAAAGTCTGACTGGCCCTCTCATTTCTACCCAAACTGTTTCCACGCTCTGATTTCCTGAATTTAGGCCATCTTTTTCTATTTTGCAAATACCATTATTAACTAACAGAGCCACCCCTTAATCTTTACCTAGTTTCCAGTCCAATCTAAATGTTCTGTACTTTTTAAGGTTCTGGTCCCAAGCTATGTCCTCTTTAGTCATATCTCTGTAATGGCTACCAGACTGTACTTATTCATTTCTGTTTACACTCTGTTACAATCCCAGGTGGCATTATTATTGGACAAGTCAGATTCCAGACAGGAACCTGACTTGATAGATCATTTTAAAATTTGTTTTGGCTTTAACAGGGGTCTGTTGCTGAAATATAAGGATGCAATGCTGCAAATTTTGCTTTAGTAATGAAACAAAAGTTTATGAGCGAAAGAAATGAAGACAAAATAGAATAAACCAAACCATTTACTTGTAACAAAAATTCAAAAGATTTTCAAATACATTGTAATAGTATAATCTCATTAGTCCCAAAACACTCCTTTATGAATTAAAAAGAAACCAAACAATTTTTGTATAGTAGCAAAAACACATGCCTAGTGCAGTACCTAAAAACACCACTTATATAATACTCATACCAGAGTCCCTGTCTCTAAACCTCAGTAAGTGAAGTCACAGTGACTTAAAACTTTTAGACTGAAACTGCAAATATTATTTCATGGTGCAGCTGCACACCTGCTTCAATGTACTCTGCTTTAAGAAACCTATTCAGCGTTTTATCCCAACACTTCTGGTTTGTGACTATCACAAACTGTTTACTGTAAGGTTCGCTATATATTCTTCCATCCAATTCCAAAGTCAAATTGTAATTCAAATTTTGCTGTAAGATCCCCAAGACAACATTGATTCTGCTTTTATAAAAATTGTTCCAGAAGTCGTGAGCTCCTTGAGACCCCATTATTTACCTTGCTGGATTGCAAAAGATCTAAAAGTCCATTGGTGGTGCACAAAACCAATTTACTGTTAAGTCAGGACGCTCAAACTATTTTACAAGAAATCACCATTGCTACAGAGATATTTCCAGACAAATTCTTCACTTCAGATACACAGAAAACCCATCAGTTACTAACTCAAAATTCAGATACTCAAACCTAAACTGAATAGTATTAAAATGTAAATATAAATCCTGCAATTACATTACAACTTTCATGTCCATCTGTTTTGTTTTAAATATTACATGTATTCAGATACAAAGACTTTCTAGTCTTATCTGTTGGTTGACTCCTCAATTCATAGTGCTTCCTGTTTGTCATTTCTCTTCTTACTGTCTTAACTACTCCTTGATTTACCACATCTTTGCAAATTTGATCCCTTGCCCGCCACTGTTTGGTTTAAAATCCTCTCTACTTCCCTAGTTGTTCAGTTTTCAAGAGCATTAGCCTCATTCATCTCTGATTTGCACATGGCTCAGGTAATAGTGCAGAAAGTACGATCTTTGGAGGTCCTGCTTAGTTTGGTGCCTAGCTCCTTATACTAACATCACAGAAACTCCTTGTTTGTCTTGCCTGTGAGGTTAGTACCTACATGGGCCATAATGACTGGATCCTTCTTCACCACCACCACCCCCCCCCCCAAAAAAAGACCTCTCCAACTCTCTAATCGACCTCACTATACAGTCCCCTAGCTACTGCTACTGTGTTCTTCCTTACTCCCTCCTGTAATGGCTTTCTAAACCACAGTGGCATTGTTACTGTCATCCAGACCAGCTGAAAGAACCTCAGATCTTTTGGTTAATTGCAAACGTTGAGGCTCCTGCCCTCTGGGTTCCTTTCTCTGCGTCATGTAGTAATACTCTACTGTCCCGAGCATTGATAAAAATCAGACGGCCCAACTCTTAAGAAACGTAGCTGCCTCCTGATACAAAGAATCCAATTTAACTTTGCCCATCCCCAACAGGTTACAGTTTTTGTTGTGGGCCTGCAGCTCATAATCTCTGAGCCGAAGCTGCCCAAACTTCAAACTCTTGTTGCAAGTGTGTCTGAGAACTCCCATGTGCTGCAACCATTTCACATCACTTGTCCTGCCATCATCAATATGTTCTAGTTAACTGTGTAATTACTTTATTCCGTTTTATGTTTGGTTATGTTTCTGTTTGTTTTATTAACCTTGCCATCAGACTGAAACACAATTTCCGAGGCTGAAAGTGTTTAGAAAAGCTATAGAACCTGTCATTCCTTACCTCCCCTGAATTGTCTTAATCGCATAACGCCAACACTCTATTGTAAGTCACGTTTAGCTTGCTAGTTTTACATGCTCCTGTGTCAAGCTTATGTGATTGACTTAATGTGGATTCAATTTCAGCTGCTTCTTAATACAGGTGTGCTTTTACTGGAGCCCTTGTTCAAACCCTGCATAAGGCTGTCAGCTATAGAATTTAAACTGGGCTAACTACAACTAGATCTGTACAATCTAAAAGTTTTTTGGTTTTTCTTGCACAGCATCGACATACAGTTGATCCTATTTATCCCTTCAATAATATTTCAAGGAGATTATGTAGTCATTTATTTTCTTATAGTTATCTTGCAGTGCAGGCTGGTTTCTATATTTCCCTGAGGCCACAACTTCAAAGTGGTATTGACTGGAAAACACTGCAGAACATTCTGAGGGTGCTACAATTGCTATATAAATGTCTTGCAACATGAAGAAGGGTTAATTCTGCTTACAGATACTCACCTTCTAATTATCACAAGATTGTCAGATAAGGCACAATGTTAAATAGTTTTCACATGGAGAGCAGTCTCTCTGGATCCCTTGTCACCCCTTGTTCTAGGTTGTATGCATAAGAATGTAAAAAGTCAGGTTATAGTCAAACAGGTTTATTTGAAATGACAAACTTTCAGTACGCTGCTCTTTCGTCGAGTAAAGTAAAGGCATCTGGCAATGGAGCAGCACTCTGAAAGCTTGTAATTTAAAATAAACAGGAACAGGAGTAGACCATTGAGCTCCTCAAGCCTGTTCCACTATTCAACAAGATCATGGCTGATCTGAGGCCTAACTTCATATACATTAATACTTTTGCATAACAAAAATTCACCCATCTCCGATTTAAAACCAGCAATTGATCTAGCATCCACAGTTCTGAAGAAGGATCACTGAACGAAATAATAACTCTGCCTTGTTTCCAAAGATGAGGTTCTCAAGCAATTTCACTTTTTTTGTTTCAGATTTCCAGCATCTGTAGTTCTTTGTTTTATTTAAGCATGCACTGCCATTTGTCGAAGAGAGTTCCAAACTTCTACCACCCTTTGCATGTAGATGGAGGCATACTGGACTGATTCCAGGGTTGGTGGGATTGTCCTTTGAAGAGAGATTGTGACGACTGTGTCTGTATTCTCTAGAGTTTGGAAGAATGAGAGGTGACCTAATTAAAACATACAAAATTCTTACAAGACATGACCAGGTGGATGCACGTTTCCACTAGGTTAGTTCTGGAGAAGAGTCATTGGACCCGAAATGTTAATTCTACTTTCTCTCCACGTGCTGCCAGACTGCTGAGCCTCTCCAACAATTTGATTTTGTTCCATTGGGTTAGGAATGGGGGATTGGGGTTTGAACCATGACGCACAGCTTCAAAATAAGGGGCAATCTATTTAAAACTGGCATGAGCTGGAATATCATTGAGTATATTCAAGATACCAATCAATACATTTCTAGATATGAAAGACATCAAGGGATATAAGGGTAGTGTGGGGAAAATAGTGTTGAGGCAGATAATAGGCTCAAATGGCTGAATGGTTGTCTCCTTCTATGTTTCTATGCTACATTGGGCTATTGGACTCTAGTGTTGTGTTGCTTCAACATCTGTCCAACTCTTTGCAGGTACAATGCCACTGCAGTGCTTTTACGGAAGCAGAGCCTCGTCCAAGGATTACTCTGCGGGGAATTCATTTTTGGACAGGTAAATATGGGCCATAGGTTTGCTGTGACTTAACACCCCCTTGGTGGCAAGGAAGGCCTCAATTTGCCCAATTGTCATTGCGAATCTTGAAGCGGGTTGTGTGGGGAGAGAGTGTGAGAGTGTGATGTTAGGTACAGCAGTTAAAATCAGGGACAAGTAAGAAGCCAGGATGGTAGGAGTCAAAATATCCAAGGAAGTTGCAGGGCTGGAGGAGGTGAAGGTAGGATGGGAAAGGCCCTGGAGAGATTTGGGAATTAGGTTGACACATGAAGAAGTGAACAGAAGTGAAGTACTAGTAAATGCTTTCCTAAGATGAAGACGCAATATAAATGCAAGTTGCTGATGGGGTGAACTGAAGCAATTTGATCAAGTGAAGGCGTGTATAAAGCATATGTCAGTACAAACCTGTTGAGCTAAATTGCTTGTGTTCTGTGAATTTGATGCATTTAATCATTCTCCTCACTTTTGACAGATCCAGCCTGTCAGGCCAGTCTCCCTCAGCTAAAAGGAATTTGGGATTTTTACCTCAGCCCTCCCCTCAGTCCGTGAAGAAACTGCGTGCCAATCAGGATTACACTGGCTGGAACAGACCCCGGGTGCCTCATGCCGCACAGCTCCCACAGCAGCTGCAGGGGTAAGAAACCAATGGGCATTTTCATTGGGTCAAGACTACACAATCGTCCCTTGCCTGTTGACCTCTAGAGACAGTCCTTGGGGGCTGGCACTTTGCTAATGTCTGGCTATTGACATGATGATCTCTCTCAGCTACTAGAAACAAGCAACTGACCAAAGTTTAATTAGTAGAATTGAAGGTTTTTATTCCACGTTATCTAGTCAATTAGGTTTACTCTGGATATTCGTAAGCCAAGGCAGTTCTAACAAGAAAATATATCCAATTTTTTAAATTTAAAGCAAAGTACACTAGAAAAAATACAAATGAACCCATTTACATGGATTTGTCTGAGGATCAGACTGAAACAGGTGATCAGCCCATTTGTCCCAGTCTCCAATTAATGATCAGATTCCTCCTCCTGCACTAACTAACTATGGTCTGAGGCCAAGTTTTCTTTTATGCCTTTTTCTCCATAAAGACAAGTTTTGCATTCAGACTTTTACACTGTCCAGTCTCCAGCATATGATCAGTTTGACCACTGGCAAATCATGCCTAGTTTGATTAGTTGCTTATTGAGACGTATTTGCCTCTCCCTGGAAAGAGGATTTTCTCTTGGATTCTTTTAACAACTTTGACTTTGACCAGCTTTTTCAGGCTGCTCATATAAGCTTATTTCCTTGCAGCTTTTGTGTTGTTCAGTCAACTGTGTGATAATTATGTAGGACAATTTTGTGACAATCATTAATTAACAGGTAAATAGTCCACATCTGATTTGTGTTATACATAAAATGCAATCCTGTATGGAATCATATCTGATTCATTGCCTGTTTTAAGCTGAACTTCAGCTTTCCTGGGTTACTGTGACAGTTCAGTGCATTATTCTGAGTTACACACACACATTCCTTCAGCAAAACACAAACACGTGAAAACCAGTGATCTTTCTCATGTGATCTAGGCTTTACGTGTTTTCTCCCACCTCATTTCATTTGGCTTCATTTTGGCTCATTGAGGTTAATATCTACAAAGTAAATCAGAATAGTTCCAGTGTAGATGGTGTCCATTTGTACCTGTGCTGGCTGTCTGTAGGGGTAATCCATTTGGCATCCTTCCCCTATCTTCTCCTTTATACCACTGCACAATTTCTCCAATCAGTACATCTAACTGAAGGCCCTCATCCTTGGAATTATTCACATAAATCATTACTGCACCCTCTAACACTTTCATATTCTTCCCACAGTGCCATTTAGGATTCAATACTCAGTGTTTCATTTCATGTTTGTGCCCTCTATTTATTCCTGTTGGACTGAATTGTGTCAATGCTTCCTGCATCCTGCTTTTGTTTAGCTTTCTCTCATGGCCCTTTTAATGGGATTTGTTTCCTCTGGACTGTAGGTTTTCCAACCTTGGCAATACCTGCTATATGAATGCCATTCTGCAGTCTTTGTTTTCACTTCAATCTTTGGCAACTGACCTGCTGAAGCAAGGCATCCCATGGAAGAAAATTCCAGCAAATGCTTTGCTCAAGTAAGTATTTTGTGATATGAAATTGAAGCTTTGCAAGTCTTGAGAACCTGTGCTAGTTCATTTTATTTCACCAAGTTTTCTTTTGCATGTACAAGTGTCAATAAACACAGGTCACTGGGCCAGTGTGTAGCACTCATTCCAAGTAATGTATAGTTTATGTTTAATGGGGACATATGTACTTGAAGTGAGGGATAGTTGGGAGTTAAGATGAGTGATCTCACTCTCTCTGACTGGGTGAAGGAGAGCAGTAAGTGGGGACACTAACTGGTAAGGTGAGGATGCTAGTGAAGCCTGTTCGATAGGTGGGAAGGGAGGAGTTTTGTAGCAGTGATTGGAGGGCCCTGTCTGTTTGAGGCTGAGGATATGGCTTTTCGCTGGTGTGGATTGTTGCCTCCAGACCTGTGATTTGCATGCAGCTGAGTGTTTTTTTTTTTTTTTAATTTTCTCTTCTTCATGCCCAAGCTAATTGTATGTTCTGTGATAGTAGTTCGTTATAGGCAGGGAGCTTTCTTAGAAGTGCTTCCTTGTTTTATCTTGTTCTTTGGGAGACCGTGTGTAGGTGCGGAAGGATCACCTCTCATCCTCTTGTATTGACTACTTCCAGGCGATTTGCCCATCTCCTGATCAAGAAGGATAATTGCAGCCCGGAGGTGAAGAAAGAGCTGCTGAAGAGAGTGAAGAATGCCATCTCTACCACTGCTGAAAGATTCTCTGGATACGTGCAGAACGTAAGGGTCTTGACTGTCAGGACTGATGGGTGGGTGGACAGGTGGTGACTTTTCAAGCTGCAGCACTGCTATTTGCCGTTGATAACCCAGGTGGGGAGAGGCATGGAGAATAAATAGAGGAGCGGCAAAGATTGAAGTAAGGTGAGCTTTCTGTGATAGTAACTTTTGGATTGTAAATAAATTCAGGCAAGAATGATTTAGTAAGAACTGGATGAGAGGAGGGGGACATCATTTTGTGATTACAATATGCATGCAGACTAAACTGGGACATGATGTACTGTGCTTGGAAGGAGAAGGTGAGTTTGCACCTTGTTACCAAAATTCTTCTACGCTTAAAGTTTTTGAGAAGATTTGTAGCTCAGGTTGTGATGAGGTTGTAGACTTGCTCGCCGAGCCGGTGTGTTTGATTGCAGACGTTTCGTCACCCTGCTAGGTAACATCGTCACTGCACCTCTGGTGAAGCATTGGTGTTCTGTCCCGCTTGTTATTTATATGCCTCGGTTTGCTGGGGTGGTTGGCATCACTTCCACAGGGTCCAGTTCAATGTGTTTGTTGATGGAGTTCCAGTTGGCATGCATTCCCACCACCCCAGCAAACTGAGGCATGTGAATAACAAGTGGGACAGTAGTACACCAACACTTCACCGGAGGTGCACGGACGATGTAACCTAGCAGGGTGATGAAACGTCTGCAATCAAACACACCGGCTCGGTGAGCAAGTCTCCAACCTCACTCTTCTACACTGGAGGTCTTAATTGCTTCATGTCTATTGTAGGCTCTTTAATAAAAGATCGATTGTGGTGATTACTCATCAACTTATTGTATTTTGGCATTAGCAGGCCAACAGCGACTACCGGTGGCCAATTTATACATGACAACTTCTACAAACAGCAGTGAGATAATGATCCGATTTTTATAAGTTTACATTGTTTGAAGAATAAATGTTGGCTGAGGGACCAGGGTGAAATCTGCTGTCCTTCGAAAAAATGATCTGGGATCCGTTACATCCTCCTGAGGGGTAAGACAGTGCCTCAGTTTAACACCTCATCTTAAAGGCATCAGTGCTGTTACCACTTCATTCAGGTGACAGCCTAGGTTTTGAAGGTGGATCTTGGTCCTTCCCCACAAACGTGTCTAAAACAAAGGAAGAGAAAAGCTAAAGTGAGCTGAGAAATTGAAACAGTGAAGTAAGAAAGATGAAATGCAGCTAGAATGGTTGGTTGTAAGGCAAATGGAGGAAGTAAGCAGCCTCAGGACCAGCTGCAGATGAGAGATTTGCGAGCTGCTGGTGTATCCTCTTCCTTAAAAGTTACGTAAATGTACGTCTGTCATTGAATGTGTTGCATCATAGGGATCCTGCAGTCTTGCTTCTTTACCACGAGAGGGAGCTGTGCTCTGTATATAGGTGGGTTAGTGAGTCTTGAGCACTGTGAACTGAAATGGGAAGCAATCACAAAAATACATTTAATAGAAGTGAATGGTTTGACTTCTCTCCTTTGTTCTCACAGGCTGTTTCTCAATTTCTCCTTTTCTGTCTTTCATCCCAAACAAGGATGCCCATGAGTTCCTGAGCCAGTGCCTGGACCAATTGAAGGAAGACATGGAGAAGTTAAACAAGACGTGGAAAAATGAGCCGGTGGCAGGCGAGGACTCTCCAGCTGCACGGGGTTGTCATGAGGCCATAGCTGCCAGGGTCTTCACCTGCCCTATTGTCTCCAACGTGGAATTCGAGGTTCTGCACACCATCGGTTGTAAAACGTACGTCAGCGGTGAGACTGGCAGGCAGGTCTGTAAACCATGAGCGGCTGCTTCGTGCCAAGTGGCAAACCTGCATTTTCTGCAGCATTTGCCAATTCTTTCAGTCAAGCGACAACGGTAAAGATTATCAGTCCATGTAGAGTCAGCTGATTTCCTCAGTGTCCCAGAGCCAGGGAGAGGAAATATCAGCCAGGCCAGCTTCCCGCACCCTGGGCTGTGTCATTCTGTACCTGCAGTACGGCAGAAGCGTATCTCACTCCAGTGGTGGTCGTCTTGTTTATTTGTACAGGGGAAAAAAGAATGCCCACACTTCCTTGAATCTTGTTCTGACGCGATCATCTCAGGGGTGAGGGGGCAGCACCATTCAATACAATGCCCAGGAAGATCCCCTCTAATCTCAGTGCTGCAGCTGAAATATTGCGAAACAGAAGGACCTGGGCAGTGTGATCTAATCCTGTCTACTGGGTCACATGTTTCTGAGGGGGTTGGGGGTGGCAGGGGCAGTGAGGGATCTTTAAAAAAGAGTATGTTTCACCTTACCTGCACTAGTTCCTCTACAGCTGGAGTGATGTGTGCAAGTTGGTTTGTTTCTGGGGACTGTATCACTATGCAGGACTGTTCTGTACTGGCTATTATGGTATAATCTATTCTGTGTTTGACCAGTGTGTTTGTATTGTAGCCTGTGAAAGGGTCGGGAAAACATAGTCTTATTTCAGGAATTTTGATCACCTTACAGGTGTTGTGAAAGTGTTACAAAACGAGAACAATTCAACGATCTTTCCATCGATCTCCCACGGCGTAAGAAACTTCTACCACCAAGGTCTATCCAGGACTCTCTCGATCTCTTCTTCAGGGTGTGTAGTTCATTCTTTACTCTCCACAGTTTTATATAGGAGTCATGTACTTGTAATTTTCTTTGTTCTTTTGCTGCACAGCACAGGAACAGGCCCTTCAGCCCTCCAAGCCTGCGCCAATCCAGATCCTCTATCTAAACCTGTCACCTATTTTCCCAGAGATAGTAGGAACTGCAGATGCTGGAGTATCCGAGACAACAAGGTGCAGGGCTGGATGAACACAGCAGGCCAAGCAGCATCATAGGAGCAGAGAGGCTGACGTTTCGGGCCGAGACCCTTCATCAGAAAAGGGGGAGGGGAAGGGGGTTTTGAAATAAATAGGGAGAGAGTGGGAGGCGGATAGAAGAGGGATAGAGGAGAGGATAGGTGGAGAGGAAACAAACAGGTCGAAGAGGCGGGGATGGAGCCAGTAAAGGTGAGTGTAGGTAGGGAGTTAGGAAGGGGATAGGTCAGTC